TACATGATAGAGAAAGATATCCATGACCAAGTGAGTCGATAACTTATATATGACCTTCTATGCCAAAAACAAAACACTTTTGTTTATGATTCGCTTTACGCAGTAAACAGACCATATGTTTTCGTAGTCGTGCGCGTGATAACATAGTAACGTCTAGAATATCATATTGATGATAATAGATAGTATATATGCGCCATCAACTAAATTCGATATCGTCGTGATTCTGTATGAACTCTTATGACAGTACGCAGCTCGCTTACGTCACATATACTTATGGCAAACAGTTGTATGTGGTAGCAATTTTTTTCTCAATGGGTATAGATTATAGAGAGAGAACAGAAAAAAGATAAGATATAACTATTGTCGGCGAAGAAGAACGAAAATGTGGAGATAAAAAGACGTTTGTTCGAAAATAAAGTCATGAAATTTTTTTGCCAGCTTCGATGGCATACTTCTATCACCTAGCAAGGTATTGTATAAAACCAAGATCAACGTGGTTCGATCGATTTTACAAATCAGATCGATATCTTCACACCACAGAGACCTAGGATATTGAAAAAGAATCTATTTATTTCAGCATTAACAGATGAATTCTTATAAAGATACTAAGTTCCAAGTATAACTATGCTGGCAAATTTAGAATATCGTGGAAAAAATAATAAAAGATGTATAGAAGGATTCGCCTGTTGATTAAGTCTATATAATGTGAAAATGTCAGTTGAATTGGCAAGCCTAATTGACCAATGTTGACTTCGGCTTACCTGCGAAGGCCTCTAGAACAGCCAAAAACGTCATAACTCGATTTCTGAACGAATGCTTGTGTATGACTCGTTGTCTTCTTTCCCATTTTATCATAGTGCATCTCCTGTGTTTTCTGTCTTCTCTCGAGCACGCATATGACAAAACAATACATCTCGCGTACGAGTGGGCCCATTGGATATACATTATGTCAACAGGTCTTATTCTATCATATTGATTGATGCACAAATAATTCTGTGTCTTAGTAGAACGCCAACTTTAAAGCAATAAACCGATTATTTTTCTAGGGCTCTTGCTCTAAGAAAAACGGTACTGTACACCATATCATATCTTTGCCATTCAGTGTCATATATGCCCGATAGTCTCATTACAACATGACATCATTTGTGCATCAAGCAATGTGACGACATATGGCCCATTTTCAAATCATGTTTTTTTTTGTATTTATTCGTATGCGAGACGTATTTTGTTTGTTTGTGTGTGTCTGAGAGAGACGACAGAAAAAGAAAGGAAGATGTATTATAACCAGAAAGGAAAGAAAAACATGGTAAGAATAAAGCGTCTGTTCAGAAATGAAGTTATGAATTTTTAGAATTTTACAAGTCTTGTTCAATCTTCTAAGTCTGACTCGCATACAAGTAGAGACCAGTGTTGCTCAATCAACTTCATCGATTTGACTGACATTGTCACAGTATATAGATCTAGTCAAATGAGAAAGAACCGAAATATTTCAACACCAACAGAGAAGGCCTTGTGCGGATAAATTTAGAGTACCTTGGATAAGTTTCAACCGTGACACTGGACCATGTGAAACCATAAGTGAAATCGAAATGTAATATGATTAGAAAAACTAATTGGCAATTTTCTTATACATGACCGTCCAAATGAGAGTCGAAATTTACGACTTAGGAATTTCTGAGAATGGAGTTTCATCTAAATTATGTAAATCAAATAGTTGAGAACAAATGCTTCATTTTGATAGTAATCATGATAGGGCGAATTCTACCTTTTTCGTTTATGTAAAAAAAAATATTCTTTAGTAAAAGCTTAATTTCACAAACTTTTAAAAAGTGATATTCGTCATCATCTACAGTATTCTTCCGAATAAGAATATCTGCAAGATAATTCATTGCGTTGATTCCAGTCATTTACTTTATGAACTTAGTCATGCTTCCTAAAAATATCATCTAATACCGACAAAAAGTAGTAGATGATGAGGTAAGGTGTGGATTCTTGGGCGACAAAACTATTCATACTCACACTCTAGTGTAGTCTTTAAGCGAGGATGTACAAACAAAATTACACGCGACGAATCATCTGAGCAAGGGTAAAATTGTTCGCGTTATACAAGCTTCCCTATTATATTCATTAGTATTTTTACAGGTACAAGATACATGATCCCTATCATGAATTTTAGTGGTGTCAATTAGTCATCAAATAGTTGATTTTGAAAAACTTTCAAAATATCTGAATTATCTGTAAACTCGCTAAAATTATGAATGATTAAGCTCCGTGTGCATCATTCTATAAGCTAGTATAACGATGTTGTCGAAGCCGCGATACCTTTTTTTTGACGAATCATTTAAATAATATCACATCTCAATGCAGTTTCAAAAACTCAATCAATCATTTTACGTGGTATATTGTCAGAAACTTTTTTCTACTCTAATATCACATCCATGGTTTCTTTTTTTATCTCCTATGCATTTTCTATTTCTATGATCAAGTTTTTATCTCAATTAGAATTAGAATTCAACAGAGCTTTATCTTTTGTTATGATAGTTTGAAGATCTTGTGTGATATTAAAAATTGTATTTCTGTTCAAACTTGGCTTTGACAGGTACTTGTAATTTCTGCTGTAACTCTCACTTCTTTTAGACGATGAGAATTCACTGGATAGTGATGCTTCGTAAGATACTTTATATTCAGCAGAGTATCTGTAGTTGTACCAACTGTATTTTCCCGAACGATTCATTTCTTGGTGCTGAAATACTTGGATTCTTGCTCAGCTTTCTGAGTCTACATATTTTGAAAATGTTAGTCAAGTCAGTAAAATCGACCGAACAATGCTGATCGTGGCTTGCATTCGATACTTCCTCAGATGACGTGAGGAAATCTCTAAAACGGTCAAAAATATCATGACTTCATTTCTGAACAGACGTTTTATTGTATGATATTTTTGTTTCTTTCTTCACTGGTAATAGTTTCATCTCCTTTCTTTTTCCATTCTCTCCTATTGACAGCCACTATATAAACGGATGTAGGCAATGAATAAATCTATTCCAGTTTGTGACAACATTTTGAGTACTTTGTATAAAAAGAAACCATTAGGATTATATACTTTATTTTCATTTACCGAATATTGATATATTACAACGTTTGAAAAGAACTTACAATTGTGTAATTTGTTAGCGTCAATAGAGGTCACTCTATTACCGCTAACGCCCAGTTGTACAATATTGGTCTTTTCCTTTCCTCTATATATATTCCATGGACTATCCAGTTATTATTTGTTTTCCTTTTTCTCTCATGATTCATTCCCTATTCCACCTTTCTTCTTGTTGATCCTATTATTGGTCTTTTTATTTTCTCCTCTTTATGTTTTTCATCCCCATCATCATTATTATATTGTCTTTTTGGTTTTATTGTGAATAAAACCTCATACATCCCTATATACATCCTCATTCATTATATCAAGACTAGGTAAGTCTTTTCTATTATTTCACGTTTGTGTTCTCGTTCCCAGAGCAGACCTAGGTTTTTGACATAGTATTCCGCCCTGAGCTGTAGTCTGGGGCAGAAGTCACCTTTCCCTCCAAACGAGAGCCTAACATAATTGCACGGTATGTTAAAATTATAACATCTTTTCCTATACTATGGAATTACGACAATGAAACAGTAAGACTTTAATAATTTTGAAAAATAGTTCCAGGAACATAATATCACACTCAATTGGTTCGACTGTATATCTAAATTGAACAATATTGTTAACATAGATTTTTACTCAGTTATTTACTTGTTCTTTTATTAATAACACATGGATAGACATGATATACTATTTGTTTATGAAGTAAGAGATATCTTATTTTGATGTAAAGCTTTAGTTTTTCGATAATAATAATATTTATCTTGGAGATGAAAATTAAGAGACAGAAAAGGAAAGGATGAAGATTGAATTGAAAACAGAGATGTGTGGAAAGGACGATTGTTTTAGATTGGAAGAAGAGATAAATCTGCGATAATCAAAGAGCAAGCTATGATATATTATCAGGTGAAATGAATAAAGATTATCATTTGATATGATTGGAAAGCTTTATTATTATATTGCATATTTAAATTACAAATATTATAATGGAGACGTAGTTAAAAAAAATGATTTCCTTTCATTAAAGATATACACTGGCATGTGAGTGATCCTCCTTTTCCTCATATCCTCCATTTTTTCAAAACAGTCTTCTACCTATCTATATGGCTGACATGTTTCCCGTTTTATTCCTTGCAATAGAAGTATAATAGGAGCAGTGAATAGGAGTCAAAGAATTAGATTACGTTTAATTTTTAAAGAGGGAGATGGCTTTGAAAAAAAGGAGGATAGGAGGAAAATGAGGATCACTCACATGCCAGGATATACATCGAAAAATCCAATAATTAATTTGATCGTGACCATTAAATAACAGATAATATAAACATCGTAACATTATCAAGGTACTTTTTACATTCAGTTTGCGGTTTTTATTCGATTTTCAATGATGAAGTAGAGAAATTTCGTTTTCTTTCGGGGAATACGATTGTACTTGTTCAGATTGGTGGATGAGGGAAATATATGATTTATTTTATGAACAACGGTCGCTTGGGTGAAATTGAAGTTTTATGAGAAGAATGGATTGCTTGATAAGAATAAAAAAAATAGGGTGTGGGTATTAATCTTCTTTTACTAAGATATCACCCACATCCACACTCCACCCTTGCTGGAAATTCACCGGATCCGTTTGGTTCCCGCCGTATATCTTTGACCTGAACTTGAGTGGGTGACTAGAGGACATGCATAGGAAGCATGCAATGTGAACATCACCAGTCTAGTACCAATAAATAGTCAGAATGATGAAAGATAACAGGATGCGTGATGATGATAGTTATTTATATATAGTACAAACGCGTTGCTTGCATCTGCCTTTCTAGAAAACAAATTTACAAACGACTGTCAATCAGTGATTCGAATCATCAAAACAACAAAAATCAAAATGGGAAAACTCGACGGAAAAATCGCTCTCATCATCGGTGCTTCTGAAGGTATTGGTTTCACCACTACTCAGCGATTCATTGCCGAAGGTGCAGAACATGTTTTCATCACTGGACGTCGACAGCAAGTACTTGATGAAGCGGTGAAAAAACTCGATAACAAAAATGTGACTGCAATACAAGCTGACGCATCCAATATGGCTGATCTCGACAAACTCTACAGCATCATTCAGAAAGAGAAAGGTCGTTTGGATGTTCTCTTTGCCAATGCAGGTATTTACTCAACTGCACCATTAGGTTCGATTACTGAACAACATTTTGATGATATGTTCAACATTAATGTGAAAGGAATACTGTTTGCTGTTCAAAAAGCTTTGCCAATATTTGCCGATGCTGGATCTATCATTCTGAATGGATCTGTCAATGCCATCAAAGGTTTTCCGAGTACAAGTGTCTATTCGGCTACCAAGGCGGCTCTTCGCTCCTTCGCTCGCTGCTGGACAGTCGATTTGAAAGAGCGCAAGATTCGAGTGAATATTGTGCAACCGGGACCAATCGATACACCGCTACTGAAACGTATCGGAAACAGTGAAGAAGAAAACGAAATGGTTAAAGCTCGCTTTTCATCTACTATTCCTATGAATCGCATCGGTGCAAGTGATGAAATTGCAAAATCGGTAGTTTTTCTCGCTTCCGACGACAGTAGTTATATTACAGGCATCGAACTTTTTGTTGATGGAGGCTTGGCACAGATCTGAGATACTTTTGTATGTTAAAATTTGTGTTGCTAAAATAAATTCAATTGAACACGAGAGCTCATAATAGGAAGTAACTACACTTGATTTATTATTATTTTCAGTATTGAATAAGAGGATCTCGATGTAAGGCATATTTTTTGAACTTTTCGTTCATTAGAATACTGAATTAGATGACGAAAATCTGTGAACAGTGAAGAACAGAATCCCTTTGCAAGACCAATGATTATCCGCTTTAGAGCAAAACGTAAGGAGTTGCGTTGCAAAAGAAGAACAGCATTAATAAGCTCGGTGATCATTATTTCTTTATGTGCTAATGATAAAATAATTTTTTCAGAATTTATTGAATGGGAAAATAATAAACCAAAAATTTCTATTTTGCAACAAATCTCTCCTAAAGTCTTATAGACATGCAATCTTGTTCTTTTTTTAATAAACGATATTTGGACATATCGGAAACTTTGATGGCTCGTCATGTAACTGAAATCTAAATTCGGCAACAACTGTTAGATGATCATGATATTAGACACAATTGATGCGAGAGGCAAGATATTTCGACTCAATATTTCGATTCTTTACGAATGTCTTCATCCTACAACCAAGAAGTCGTGCGTCCTATCAGAAACGAGCGAACTAGATTTATCTATTATTTTCTAAAATTAAACCATTGAACTTAACTTTGCCATCACAGCGACTAACAGAAATCTCTACTATCGGTATGGGTGTGGGTCAGGGTGGGATGTGACTGCGAGTGTCTGAGGCTATGTGGGCGGGTTCGGATCCTCTGCTCTCGTTCATCCGCACTCACACTGTCACCGAGACACCTCACCCACACCCACACCCACACCCACACCCTCCAGTAAAGTCACCATCTAAAAATGTTTGAAACTCGGCAAAAGTCAGAAAAATCAGAAGATCTGGTAACTCTGATTTTAAATATAGGTTTTGATGAGTATGAGTTCGGTTTCATTAAGAAAACGCTGTTGAGAAATAAGAGAACAGATCAACAGAACATATACGAACATATATATGTGAAAAGATGATGGAAAATTCAAGATGTAGAATGACTTAGTCTGTATAATAGGAAAAATGTTCATGTGTATTGTACAGATACATATTGGAAGAATCATCAACATTAACTTATGCATGTTCTTTTACTTTATCAGTACTTTGTTAGACCAACAAAAAGGTTTGGCCTATGAATAAAAATCTTGCCCATCGGATTTTTTTCGACACAAGAGAAGTTTGCCCATTTATCTAAAACTTCTGGTTACGCTACTGGCTGCAATTACCAATAAGATATTGAAAAGAACAATTATAGAAGAAGATGATAACATTCATAAAAGATGACGCATTTCTATATGGGTGTGGGTGTGGGTGTGGGTGTGAGTGTGAGTGTGAGTGTGGGTGTGGGTGGGAGTTTTGATCAATAATACCCACCCACACCCACACCCTCAGTCACTTTATTACGATATTCATCTCGAGCGGGTGTGGATGTGTGGGTGTGGGTGTGAGTGTGGGTGTTGGTGTGTGGGTATCGGTGTTCGTGCTTCTGTTGATCTTCTCTTCACCCACACCCTCACACGCACACCCTCACACCCACACCCACACCCACACCCACACCCACACACCCCACACCCACACCCACACCCACACCCACACCCACACCCACA